GATCTGCCTGCACAACAGCCAGGCAATGGCAGATCAGAGAACTGAGGAAAGTGAAGAGTTCTAAAAGCATGTTACTGACGCAGTGACAAGACGTGGCATTATAGCGCGCTTGCTGCTGTGTCTGGTGTGAAATGACACACAACAGACAATCTCCAACAATGCCGGCCAGATTCATCATCTATGTGTCACAGTCGACTTCCCGTCTTCATTTGAGCCGAGGCCTGGCTGGATGATGAACGTCTCCTCTGCACCCATCTGTCCTTCGTCCTCTTGGGTTCCCCTACCTCCCCCCGGCCATACTTTTATTCTGTCCCCGTCTTTGTCGCTCCTTTGCTCTTCTTTCTCCTGAGTAACTGATAAAAATAGAGCTTCATAAATCATGCATCTTCTCTCGCAGCCGAGCGAATGAGCGGCAGAAAAAGAGGGAATGAAAGAGCGAGTGTAATGTTCGGAGTGAGATGTACAGAGTGAGGTGGATGACATCAAACTCCGAGAGAAAGGGTGGGAAGTTGACAAGGGGATAGATTGGAGCTGCGGGGCTCTTGGCTGCCCTCTCTTTTCTCGCCAAACGGGTTGATTCATTCTGGATTTGTGCCGAGAGGAAGAAATGAACATTAACATGCTGGGGGAGAAGGCCGCCAGACTTATGATGGTCACCCCTGCCAGCAGAGTCCATGTTTAAAGTGTTCACAGGCCAGACGCCTCTCTCTCGAGTGTGCTCAGTCAATCTGTCTATCACTGTGGGTAACAGAGTGCGTCCCTAGAGGGCAGGTTAAGTGAGAGGCTCGAAATCACATGAAACTACCAAACAAGGCAACATAGGAGGAGCCTTTCGGAAACTACTGAAGTAGACTTCAAGAGGACGTTTTTTTTTTCTTTGCAAGGTAGATGCTTACATGTCAAAGTCAGGCTAAGAGTTTGGAAGTAAAGCGTATTTGCAATGTTTGCATCTTACAAATCATTCGACGTGTTTAAAGTGGAAATTTTTTTTGTTGTAAATGAGTTAAATCTAGACCGAAGTTCCCATTTACAAACTGAAATTCACGTTGGCTTTCATGCAAAACCTTTTCATTCGCCATTTCAGAAGAGGAATGTTGTTCGTCTTGAAAGCTATCTTTAAACTCGGATACTCTTCCGAACTACTTTTTTCCATGTCTACGGTACAGTGGTACCTCTACTTACGAACGTCTCCTCATACAAAATTTTCAAGTTATGAAACGTCTCAACAGGAAAATATTGCCTCTTGTTACGAAAAAAAAATCAAAATACGAAAGGTGAAAATACAGTATAGACTGCTGCTCGCAGCTCCGAGTTTCCTGTATGCAACATACTTATAGCTGCTCTCCCATTGGCTATTATCGAGCATCATCCTGGCATCCCATTGGCTAAGAGGGACTTCTACCGTATGTGTCTATGTGTGCAGATGGAGAGATATGTGTCTATGCAGCGGCCTCATCATTCACCCCTCGGGCCATGAGGTGTTCCGATAGTTTCATGTAAATGTGAATCACCCTGAAAAAGTGTTCACCAGTCGGGCAATCGCTCACTATGCTGATGTTTGCCTTGGATATTTTCAAAGGATTGTTAAAAGCCAAAAAAAATGTTAGTTTTTTACATTATGCACAACTCTCATTTATTGTGCAATAATCTAATTGTAACATGTATTGTATGTCGTAGCATATTTTGATGCATTTTTATGCTTTAGAAAACATTTCTGACTGAATTTTGGGGGCGCTTGGAACGAATTAGGGCATTTACATGGAAAACGTGTCTCTACTTACAAAATTTTCTAATTAAGAAATTTCTTCCAGAACCAATTAATTTCGTAAGTAGAGGCACCACTGGAGACTGATGCATCAATGAATTTGCTCAGAATACAATGAACTTGTTTATTTTGCCGCATGACAATGATGTGTTTTTTCCATCAAATAATTAAAAATGTAATTTCCTTATGTACATGTTAAATATTGCAATATCAAAATCACAATATTCAACACCCATATATTGCATAGTTTTCCAATATCACACAGCCCTGTGTACTGCTATGAAATCAAGTGCATAGCAATGAAAAAAAAAACACTTTTGATTAACTTGGTGGCAAGTATTACAGAGACATAACAGACGGATTGAATTCTTAAGCTCCTTTTCCACTGCACATATTTGTATATGCCTCATTGAAATTTGGAGCTGAAAGGTGCAAAGTACTTATTTGGGGTAAAATTATGAAGTGCGTTCAATTCTCCAGTGACATTTTGCAGAAGACAAAACCCGCAGTAAGGGAAACAATGCCGCTGTCCTTTCAATGACAATCCTGAGCAAGGGGTGCCTCTGCAAGATTACGTTGGAACACTAACCCACTCAGACACACACGCATGACCTTGTCACAAACCGGAGCAACACACTGACATAGCAGCGATAATCCTATATGGTGGAACCGGTCTGAGCCGTGAACACACATTCAAGTCATCCGTAGCGACTGCAACTGCCATGGTTTTTAATTTTAAATGGTGATCCTGCACAGAGAGACGGAAAGAGCCTCAGCGATTTGAGGATGCGAAGTAAGTGAGGTCAACCTGTGAATTAATAAATGATAGCTTGTGAGTGGAAACCCGGTCACTGCGGGGATTCCGGGTGTGAGAGTGAAAAGTTCACCAGATATACAAGAGCAAACACACATCCGGCTCCGTCGCTTTGGCAGAAAAATGCCTCCATATTTCATGAGCACTACTCTCCGACTTCACTTGTGGGCCTCGAACAAACCTGACGATTTTATTGCAGTAGAAATCGCACATAACGGGTCACCGCTATTGGGACGGCTTTTAAGTGCTGGGGAAAAAAAAGAAATGCTTGTTAAAACAATGCTCTCTGACACTTTTATACATTTGGTTTATGACTCGGAAAATGTTGCTTTTAAAACTGCTAATACGCTCTCACTGGTACACCTACACACTTTATAGAGATCCAAGAGCTTTTTTTTTTCTAAATACGCCTTCACGAATAATCATGCTCACTTTGGGTTGATACTCTCAGAAATGTGTGAATTTTTGGACTTAACTTTGAAATTAATTCATTCAAATCATTAACATCATCATTTAATGTTGTTGGTTTCTGTAATTTAGCAAGCGTTCCAATGAGAGCAACCTTTTAAATACAGTATAGGATAAATATTAAGAAAGTTACGAAAGCTTGAATCTCGATTTGAACAGAGGCCACGCCTAAAATCTTCACCCTTCGTGGCTTTCTATCAAGTTGGCAAAAAAAAATTGATGCATTTTCACCATTTATCACAGGAAAATGACACAATATCACTGGAAACATCTTTGAAATCTCTGTTTGAGAATGCTGGTCTTGTTACGGATGTGCGTGGTTCAGGTTGAGGAACCAAGTGCACGGAAGCACAGAGGCAGGGCAGGAGTGCTCTCAAAAAGGAAATTTAAGAACAAAAGAACAAAAGGGAATCAAGGTTCGTAGATTCATCAAAACTAGTTAATGAACAAAAGTCAAACGAATGAACAAAATGATGCGACTCAACATCACAGGGGATGACATGATGGCTGACACGGATTGAGACAGCAAACACAACGAACTGACAAAGACAGAAAGAAACCAGGGAACAAAGGGCTCGTTCGGAAATTCACTTTGATGTCCGAGCACTACTCTGAGAGTGCATGTGTTCGGAGAGGCAGATTCATTAATGAACGCAGGCTATGTTCTAATGCAAGTCTCTTCCTCTTCCAACACACCCGATGCAAAAAATCAGCTCATCAGCAAGCTCTGAGAAGCCTGGTAACAATCCTGATCATTTGAATCAGTTGTGTTGGAAGAGGGAGCCATCTATAATAGGCTGGATAGGGAATCACGAGGTCCGGAGTTGGGCATCGCTCTTCTAATTCTATCAGGAGCTCGTGCTTGAACCGGTTCTATAAGGACAGCCTGACGCACTGACACGGTGTGTGCCCAGTTGGAGCATCGAGAGCGCGCACTGGCACTTGTGATTTTAATGCACTTGGAAGAACTGGACGGCACATTTAAACATCATTTTCCGAGTTTCCTAACGGTCGGAGCGAACCAGCGTGCGTTTAGGGAGTATTTCCGAATGTGGAACTCAATTAACGTTTGAAATTATACACGTATACAAATGTACCGTAAACTCGGTGGGTCGTGAAAAAAAAAAAGAGCACCATAACTTCTAGTTCTCAAAGGGGAACCTAGCCAACGTTGTTGTGTGCACCCCTGGTTCATTTTCAGCGAAATTGTGACAAAAACAATAATTCAATGAATCAAGAGAATGCATCCATTTTTTATCAATCTTTGGTAAACATGGACCAACGTTGTCTGGCAAAGCATAAGACGTCAAAGAGATCTTTCACCACGAATAAGATTCTTCCTATGAAATAATGAATGCCTATAAACCAAAATGTGTGTATTTTAGTTTAATGAGTGGTGGTTTTTTTCTTTTCTTTTCTACAGATTAGTCTCATTAGAGATCGGGTAGACTGGCATTCATACCAGCAGATTCTGGGCGAGAGACGGGGTACACACTGAACTGGTCAACAGTCAATTGCAGGGCACATATTAAGTATTCATTAAGTCTTTAGAGAGTGTTGAATTATTAACCAAACATGCATTTGGGAAAACCATGCAATCACAGGAAGAACACTGCAAACGCCACACAGGCAGGCGTGAAGCAAAGAATTGAACACAGAATCATTGCCAATGTGCTGGCTCGTAAATTTGAGTTGAAAATCTTCACCTTGACAGAAATGATTCAGCTTCAAAAAAGACAACATTCTTTCCAAAAAGAACAAAATGGGAGACAATGATTATAAGGGAAAGGTGAGCTGTTGTGTCTGTACTTCAATAAAAGGTTTTACCTCACAGCCATTGAGACCGACAGTAAAACCACTGTTTCCTCTCATAAAGTTCAAGGTTGTTTATTCCAACTTGATCGTATTTTGTGGTTCCTGGACTGTATGTGTGTGCGCGCGTGTACGACTCACCACACTACTGAGACGGCCGCGTGTATTTACTGCATTCTTGAGTGCCAGTTTGATCATGGCCGGAAGTCTGAGGACAACCGCCTCCATGTCCTGCTCGCCGCTCATGGCCGCCGCCAGCTTCCCCAAGCCATCCACATAGGTCTTCCAATGAGGCTGCACCTCGGCCGCTCCCCCCAGGCAGCCGTGCATCACCGCTTGGCAGAATCCTCTGCAGACTGGCGGCCCAAGCAAGCCCTGGCAGTGTGGACAGTACCACAGTCTCATCAAGGCTCGGCTACAGTCCCGACCAGGTCGCAGGTGGTCCGTGGTATTAACAACCTCGATGCCCAGGTTCAACGCCTGAAGAAAAACTCGCGTTGCAAGAAGGGAGCGGGAGAGACGGGTCATCATGAGTTTGGGATAAGGGCCGAAGGCTGCTGAGTCCTTCCAGGCCTCTTTGACGCACTCCTCGGACAAAGACCCGCTGCCCCCAAGCAGGCGACGATATGTCATGTGGAAAAGGCGGCCATAGAGCACCGTCACCATGTGATCCACCGTGGAGTCTGAGCCCAGGATGTAGAGCGACATGTCCAGGAAGAGCTGCCCGACTGAGCTCTGGGCTCCGCCTCCGAGAGCGGGGAACTCTGACTTGAGCATAGCCAGTGTAGCGTTTCGACCATGGCGCAGCACCAAGTCAAAAGCCTCTGCAAGACAACAAACCAACAATAGCGGGGAGTTATTGTAAATAGAGGGTGACGTGTTTATTGAAAGCTGGGACTAAAACACACTGAGCGCACTATCGCCGGAGCTGCTGTCGGCCACAGCTCACACCCAGACACTCACATGCAGACTCGAGACTTGAGCCAAACCAGGCAATTTACACTCAAAAGCTTTTTTTTTTTCCTTTGAATGGGCTGGCTGGATCCAAGATTTTTATGAGTTGCAGGTACAGGTTACAGGGTTTACTGTAGTTCAAGTATGATCTCTAGTAATTATCTAAAAGAGTAATCCATATTATTCTTTTATTTGGCCCAAAAACCCCATCACAGAGATAGCCGAGATGCTGGATTATTTAGTTTTTTAGTGTGTCTGTAAAGCGCATTTCCTCATCTGGTCTAACGTTTCCAAGAATTCTGGAGTATAAAATATAATTCAACCCGATAATCTGACGCAAACAAGCAAAACAAAAAAACAAACAGGAACTCACAATGACTTTATTAGTGTGCCTTGTACATCGGATGCTGTACAAAGCTATCCATAGAGAGTGCGCAAGAAGCAAGGCGAGCATGGAAGGAAATTGATCAGCCGCATTTTGAGGCTCAAAGAGTCAACGTCTTATCTTCAAGCTGGCGCAGGAGATGAGGGCTCTATCAATGCAGCCAGCAGCCATCGTATGAAAGGACAATAACAGCAGGGATTTAGAGCACTATTACCAAACTTCACGGGGAGCTGAAAGTCGGTGCAATGAAGCTTTTCCCTGGAGAGAAGCGAGTGATGCTGAAGTTCTACCCCCCCCCCCCCGCGGGTCCTCTACACCTCTATTTTGAATGATGGCTCCATCTTAGATGTGCGGCGAAATGCATTGCTTTGAGGGACTCCGAAGGCAGTTATTGGTTGATTTGCTTGAACAGCACGCCATTTCATCTTTTTTGGGGAATGTCTGATTTCACGGGAGATGGGTTGATGGGGAAACTTTTGTTCTTGTCGTCATTCTGCATCAAATGATCCTCTAAACAGTCATGTGAGACAGTTACACAGCAAAACGATCTTACAACCTGTCTCCGGAGTGCAAAGCCTAAGAATAGGTTTCACAGTGAACATTTTTACTCTTGACGAAAGTCGATGTGTGACACAAGAGCCACAACACATATGCACATCTGCTTTGGTTTGAATAAGAGCTGTCATTGAGCTTCTGTATGAGGTATACCGGTATGCATCTTTGAGAAGAGAATAGCACACGAAATACATCATCAGTTGGCAAATAAAATTCACCACGTGTCCCATGGCAACAACTAAGATGATGAAAGTCAGTACCAGTGCATTTACAGTCCCCTCATAAAACATTGGAAGGGCAAGGTCACTTCCTTTGGGTTTTGTTTCATACTGAAGACATTTTGGGCTTCAGATCAAAAGATGAATATCAGACAAAAATTCATAATTCCAATTTTTATTTCATGGTATTTAACTCTAGATGACAAGTCAGGACAGAGCACCTCTTGTTGAAAGACGCCTACTTTTCAAGGGAGCAAAACTAGCGTATTTTCTGCACTATAAGGCGCGCCAAAAAGGATTCGATTTTCTCAAAATCTGACATCGTGCCTGATAATCCGATGTGCCTTATATATGGATCAATATTCTGATTTCTGGGATGTGGCATTTTAAATGTTCTGGAAAGCGTTTTGTTACAGGCGCAGTGTGTGTGAAGGCTCAATATAAATAATGCTGTATTGTATTCCTTTTAGCGTGGCTCCATCTAGTGGATGCATAACGCAACTGCAGCCACTATTGTAGCTTCTATTCTATGCGCCTTATGTGTTGCAACCTATACATGATTTTTTTTTTTTAAATAGGCCATTCATTGACGGTGCGCCTTATACTCCGAAGCACCTTATAGTGCGGAAAATACAGTATTGAAATTGACATAATGAAATGAAAGTCAACAATATGAATAAACAATGTGAATAATTTGTTCAAAGGAATTTCTATCCTAAACACGGTTGAAAAAGGTAGCCGTCATCAGGCCATGGCGAGCACAGACTGATGGTGTAAAATCTCCATTCGATCATTCGGTCACAAAGTAGCTTTCTCTTGAGATTTTCAAGGAGAGATATTGAGCTTTTTCTTAACATGTGTGTAACATGCTTCACTCCAAATACACTATGCACACACATCCACTAGTTAAAACTTGTGTACTGATGTCTCTTGCCCAAAGTCAGCTGGGATTGGCTCCAGCTCATCCATAACCCAAATGTGGATAAGCAGTGTAGAAAATGGATGGATAATCAGATATTTCTTCGGTTCGTGCTTGCCTGGTGCTTGTTCTCATTGTTTGAGGCTAGCTGCCTTGATGACACACACACACACACACACACACACACACACACACACACACACACACACACACACAAAACAACAATACAAAATCTCT